AAATAAGTTTTGCTACTCACAACAAAAAACTGGCTTTCTAAGAACATTAACTGAACAATATTATATACAAAAAGATAAAAATAAAAAGGACTAATCTTACTAATATATAAAAGCATTACTGAGAAAGAATATGGAAAAGGTGGAGGATCTAAAACAGTGTGGGAAACAAATTTAAATATTAATATACCTGAGGAAATTTGGACAGGAATCTGGAAAAAATACCCATATAAATCTATATCAGCAAGTGCAAAAGAAACGGTTCTAAAGGTAGTGCATCGGTGGCATCTATACCCTACAAAACTACATAGCATTAATAAAGATATATCTGATAAATGTTGGAGGAACTGTGGACAGAAAGGAACTCTGGAACATATGTGGATCTCTTGCCCCAAAATATAAAAATTTTGGCAGGAGGTAGTTAGATGGATAGAAACACTGACTAATCAAAAAATAGATATTAACGAAACATTAATGTTATTTTCATTATTCACAGGGGAAAATGAGAAACTACAATATAAAGAATTAGTTGCAAATCTTATAGGCACCGCAAGATCTGAAATAGCTAAAAATTGGAAAAAAGCCCAAGATCTTTCATTGCAAGCATTCACAAGTAAAATATGGCACACATTGCTGATGGAAAAAATGACCAATGAAGTTAGATTACATAGATTACATAGAGGAGAAATAAGCCATAGTAAATTCACGGAAAATTGGAAGTCATTATTAAAATATGCCGACAAATAGACTTTGAGACATGCGGTTTGAAAAGAAATTTAGATTGTTGGTCAATATTTCTTTAAATGGTGACGGGGAATGGTATATATGTGAGTTGGAGAAATATGGGGAATAGCTTTGTATTTACTATTTGCAATATGGTCTATTGTCTCTTGATTCTTTAGAAATAAATAAATAAATTTAAAAAATATTTTTTAAAAAGATGCACATTTGGTCTTACCTGGAGAAAACCCACAGAAATGAATGGAGCTTGTTAGTTACAACTAATGTAAATCCCATTGATTTCAGGGTGCTTGCTCTAGATAGTACTAATGTAGGATCTAGCCCACTATCAAATACCCCTCACCAAGTCTTTACAAGTTACAGCTTCCAGCATTTCTTAGACTAGAAGAAGAATTGGAAAGTGCCCCTCAAATGTTGATACATAAACAACTGCTGCATTCAAATAGAGGTATTAGAAGGAATGATAGTGCTGAGCTCAAGCTTTCTGTATAACTTGTCCCCTAAAAGTTTTTTCAACATTTTGAGTGCAACATTTGGCACAAACAGATTGTTGATTGGACCTTGTGTGGCCCCTGCTTAATATGCAAGTATCTTTTCTCAGTTATTTAGCCCTCTTGAATACTCTTTATAAAATAACCCAGCACCGTGTATGCAGCTTGCAATCCAGAGAAGTTTTTACTATTGTGCTGCTTCTTGTCAAGCTGAAAACATAGTTTTAAGTTTTGTTTTATTTTAGCTATTGAAGATTTTTGACCAATGTAGTACTGATTTGTGTCTCAAAAAAATAGCAATGTGCTGTGTTTTACTTTATGTTTTATAATGGCTTTACAGAGCAGTCTTTTTTAACCTTCCACTTTTTAAAACTATTTAAAAAAATTTCTAGCTATACGCTGGTCATGGTTGCTTTTTAGCAGTAGGCAAGGCCATATCCCTCCTCTGTTCCCAAACATGTTAAGAAATGTTTATGAAGAATATCTTTAACTTGACAACCTAAAAAAATTAATATAAGCTTTATAATGTCGTATATTAGGTGGAAATAAGCTACAGACAACTGGAAGCAAAGTAGATGAATTAAAAGCGGTAGAAAATATCAAGACTCCTCCTTCAGTTGCTGCAGTGCAAACGCAGGAAGTTAAACCAGATACGTCTACTGAACCAGTAGCTCCTACAGCTCTTGCAGCTTTACAGAGTGATGTCCAGCCAGTGGGTCATGACTACGTGGAAGAGGTATTAGCCTGAAAATTTGTATTTATAAAATCCAGTTATGCAGAACAGCATGAATTAGGATTGTGACAGATTGTTCTTATGGTCAGGAAATATAAAATCATTTAAAGAGAAGGTTTAAAGCAGGTTGAATATACCAGTGCCACTGGTCTTACCTCAGTTGATTTTCAGTTTATTTGCCCTTTTCCAATGTATTACCAGATTTAAAGCAAAAAGCATGCTGCTTATATACCACCCCATAGCGCTTCAAGCACTCTCTGGGCGGTTTACAGTTTAATTATGCAGGCTACACATTGCCCCCCCCCCAGCGAGCTGGGTACTCATTTTACCGACCTCGGAAGGATAGAACGCTGAGTCAACCTTGAGCTGACTACCTGGGATTTGAACCCCAGGTCGTGAGCACAGTTTTAGCTGCAGTATAGCGGTTTTAACCACTGCGCCACGAGGCTCATTGATTCATGATGTCCACAGTGTCACCATGGAACAAGGGGAAAAGAAAGCATCATGCAAATATGGCAGTGAAACCTCTGCTGAATCTCCAGATAACCAGTCACATCAGTTGCACGTAGATATTAAACAGGATCTTGAGCATGGGGAAGGACTAGAATGGTGTCTTTGAGTCACAGTAAATAACTTTATAACTTAGCTTTAAATATTGTCTTTTAATTATGTAAACCGCTACTGTATAATTGTTTTCAGCTTTAAATACCGTATTGTCTTTCAGTGCCACCTTGGGTCCTTTTTAAGGAGAAAGGTGCAGTAAAAATATTTTAAGTAAATAATAAAACAAATAAATGCAACCCGTGCGTCCTCAAACACAAGTGGCAGAGGGTCCGTAATATTCTGCTTTCTGGAATAAACCTTCCAAGTGGCAGAACCACTGCAAACTGTGCCTCTAATAGAGAGAACATCTGGGTACCATGCTTAGTCATATTGTGATTTGCTACCTGTTGCATAATATCAGCAGGGTCCTACTCCCTCCACCCAGCTAAGATATTCAAGGTCTGTTTGCTGTTTATCAAAGGTTATTAAAGGCAACCAGGTACTTTGCCCTTGTGTTCTGGAAAGAAAAGCCTAAAGCTCCTAGAAATGCAGTTTCATGAAAAAGTGGCTGGGGTTCATCAGCTGCTGCTTTCCTAAGCCCATTGTCCGTTTATTTTAATGCTATATTGCATAGGAACATAGTTTGGAGTCCTTTATAGAGGTAGGTATTAAAGCATTGGGTAGAATATATGGGCAGTCTTGGAGGTGTGCGGGGCAGGGGTTGCAAATCTCTACAGATCACACTTGCCCATTCTTAGACCTTGGAGTTCTTTATATTCCACAACTTCCACTCCCCAGATCTTTTTCATACAAAAATCAGCTGAAAATTTCCTTGTGCCCTCTAGTGGTCATGAGATGTATTCTTTGAACTTCAAGATCTGTTAGGGGTTGCCAGTGCCCACTGTTAGATGAAGTGTGCACCAGATAATAATCATATATTTAGTGGAGTTGCTTGCTTATTTATTAAAATATTTATTTATTACTTTTTATCTTATGAGGATGCCCAAGCCACTTTAAAGATGGCCACATTGAAATGTGACAAAATAAGACATAAGACATAAGAAATTTATTTGTCATTGCACTCACAAATGGGTGCAACGAAATGAGGTGCTCTTCCCCAAGGTAGAACTGGACAACACCACTACAAAAAAAGTTAAAATATACACAACACTCACCATACAGATATATATACCCCGTTTCTATCTTGTCTGATAGTTTTGAGAACATACTATTACCATGCTGAGGAAGCATTCCAGCTGTGAAAGATTAATTACAGCATTCCCATAAGGAAGAAGAAAACTTTTGATGGCGTCCTCCCTTAAAAGGGCTGGTCAGTAAAAGATCGATTCAGAAGGGTGTGTTTCAGATCAGAAGTAAAGAATAAGTGTACCAGCTTTGGCATCCTGAAGAAAAAAGTATCCAAATAAAGTGCAATGGCAAACTTAATCCACTAAAAATCCTTATATGCATTTTAAAGAAGCAAGATTTTTCATATAGGCCTGAATCCAACTGATAATTCTAAATGGGGTAAAACTGGTTGAAACTGGGATTTGCATAAGAGCTGATTCAGTAACTAATTTCAGTGAGTCTTGTTTGGTTGAGGCAAGCAGTTAAATTAATGCCATAAAGTGGTATGGCTGTTCATTATGTTTTCTATTGCCAGTACTGCTGACCTATTATCCCAGCATAAATGTTTGTGTGGAATTAAAAGACAAATGAGTTTTGATTACAGTGATAATAAGAAGTGCATTGTATATTGTGACAAGGTAATATTGTAACATTAAACATTTACATTATATTCCCTTTCTTTTAAAGGTACGGAATGATGAAGGGAAGGTAATTCGCTTCCATTGCAAACTTTGTGAGTGCAGCTTTAATGATCCAAATGCCAAGGAAATGCATCTAAAAGGAAGACGGCATAGATTACAATATAAGGTGAGCAGTTGTAGGAACATAAGTAATATGGTTTAAATGCCTGTACTAGCAAATATTATAAAAATTGAGTGTTTTATATTGCTTTATCTCTTCTGAATTCAAACTAACATTTTCTGCTGATACCTACCTGCTTCTGTAACAAAGCTTTGCACACGATGGTTCTGTACTTGGTCTCTTCTATGCTGTAATGCGTATTTCATTAAGTTAAAAATTGTTGAGAGATGAATTAAACAATTCCATGTACGTGATACCAGAGTATTACATATCCAACAAGAGGATTTTGTCTCATTCTTGAAAGTGGCAGATTCCTAGCTGTTGTGTAGGTAGGAGTAGCAGAAAGCAGTAGCAGTTAATGGGAAATCTGGATAGAGTTGCTGTTTAGAAATAGAGACTTGCAATGCAATCTTATATGTAATTATTTAGACATAAATCTTGCTGTTCACTAGGGCTTATTCCAAGTAAAAATGCTTAGTGGGAATGTGCATTTTGGATTTTTTTAGAATACAGATCTCATAATTCTCCATTTTGGAATTCCCCCCTGCCAGACCCAGACCGTACAGATGCCTACATTCTGCTTACCAGAAGAGAAGGTCCTGCTAGCAGGCTTCATTGCTTGTATAGTCAACACCTCCTGTTTGTAAAGGAAGCTGTCACAGTGGTTGCAAGGGAGCCCTGGTGGTTGCTGGGAAACTTCCATTTTAAACAAGAAATCAGGAATATCCAAGCCGTGCAGCCTGCTAGCTGGACCTTCTCTCCAGGATAGCACCATGTAAGTATTTGGAAATAAGAGAACAAATAAATTTAAAATCCTTTGTCCTTGAAACAGAAAAAAGTGAACCCAGACTTGCAAGTAGAAGTGAAGCCTAGCATCCGAGCAAGAAAAATACAAGAAGAAAAGATGAGAAAGCAGATGCAGAAAGAAGAATACTGGAGAAGGCGTGAAGAGGAAGAGAGGTGGAGAATGGAAATGAGGTAATATGTTCAATTAACTTCAGAACTAGTTAGGTTTGCTGGGGACACAAGCAGGAGTTTGAAATGCTTATAGAACTTTCTTAGAAAAACAGAACCACTTCATAGTGAATGCACTCTCAACAATAATGGGTTAAGTCAAATTATATTTTATCAGTGTCAGCTAATGAGATCATCAGCTTCTGCTGGCATAAATGATCCTTCCCTGTCCGGTATTGTTTTGTATTAATTATAGATTGGTGAATTGCCATATCAGTTCCATTGTTATATGGGGTTGTGTGGGGTTCTGAGTTTTAATTTGTAAACTGCCCGGAGTAGTGTTACCACTAAATTTAATTTGTAAACTGCCCAGAGTAGTGTTACCACTAACGTGATGGTATACATATCAAATAAATAAATAAATTTATTTTGGTGTTTCGTCCCCTCTTCTTTTTATTTGTTTAAAATATTCCATGTAATGTTTTAAACTTTACTGTCCTTGCAAGGGTCCAAAATACCCATACACCCAGCCCGATATGTTCTAAAATGTATAAAGATCCATACATTCTAGAACATACTAGTACTAGGGTTCATTGTGCCCTAACACAATGGCATTAATTCTGATTGAAATTATTTTATTTCAGTGTAGGTCAGTGATCTCATAATTCATATTTACCACAAATGGTCTAATGAAAGCAAATATGCTATTGGATATAGTGACCAAAGTCCTGTCACTGAAAATTTATGCAGCAGAAGCTGTTGATGTCATCAATTGGCACTGGAAAATTTAATTTATATTAATTAAAAGCCTCCTATCCCCCCATTTTAGGTTTTAAGCTTCTCTGAACTCCCTTTGCCCCAGAGAGGAACAGGGCCTTGGGAGAAGAGAGTCTTTAATCACTTGAAATTGTCACCATATCATTGCTGGCAGTACCAATGCTTTTTGCCAATTAAAGTCTTCCCCTTTGTCCCAAGGCTCCAAGGGTTTCCCCAGGGCAAAAGATTGCCCTGAGAAGCCTTGGAACCTAAAACACATGGATAGGAAGCTTTTGATAAATTTAAATTAAATTTTGCTAGTGCCAGCTGATATGGCATCAGCTTCTGCCATGTAACTTTATGCCAATAGTATTTTACACATTAAATTCTTCAGTTATGTTTAAACTATATACATTCTTGTTATTTTAAACTTCTTTGACTAAAAAGCTTTTGGGTAAATAATAGAAATTGGCATTACTTAAAAATTTTTAAGGGATTATTCTTTTCCATGGTTTTAACCCTATTTCTACTGAAACCAGTACCAAAGCTTTCATTGTAATGAAGAGATATTGATTTGAAAATATAAAATTATGTTTGTTTTTACTAGTCTGTAGTTTCTAAAATCACAGTTGGCAACCATTGAGATACTGAATTTACAAAAAAAAAAGAGAAACATTTCTTAACTTAAAGTTTAAGAATATCACGTTGGTTTATATATTTAGACGTTACGAGGAAGACATGTACTGGAGGAGGATGGAAGAGGAACAGCATCATTGGGATGACCGCCGTCGAATACCTGATGGAGGATATCCTCATGGACCTCCAGGCCCTCTTGGATTACTTGGCGTCAGACCAGGAATGCCACCACAGCCCCAGGGACCAGCTGTAAGTAACCTGAACAAAAATGAAAGCCTCACCCATGCTTGCTGAAAAGTGTGTGGAGTCCACATAAAATGTGGGGAAGACACTAGCCCCATCTCTCTGTTCTTGCTTTAATTACAGAAATGGAGCAGTTGAAAGAGGAGGAAGTTGCTCAGTCTGGGTAGCCTCTCCATGTGAGTCAGAATATATGTTAGCTTATGTGTGGAGGCTACCTGGAGAGAACAGCCTCACCCTTTTTAGTCTGCTGCTTTTCTCTGATTGAGACAACAATGGAGGAAGGAGGACTAACATGCGTCCATCATCATAGTGTATGTGGGATTCACTTAACATTAAGTACACCTGATGGTTCTAGTCCATGAACAAAACAGACGCCAAAAACAATCTCCAGTGTTTAGTTGCAGTGGAATGTTTTCCTACAGGGAGGACATACCTCCTTACAGTGGGTTGTCCCACTCACTCACATTGATAGACAGGACCTTAAAACCATTTTTAAAAGCTCCTAGCTCCCTCTGATGGTGATGACAACCTGGGTATTCAGTCTTTGTTCTGTCTACACCTTGATAGCATCTTGTTTCTTCATCTTCTTCACTCACTTCTCTCACCACCACCACCACTTTGTACTGCCTAGCAACTGACTCTGTTCCACTCTGTGGGTATATGGGTAACTGCATTGGAATGGGAGCGCTTCTGAAGCCTGCTGTCCTGCCAGCAGAACACTGCCATTAGCGGTTGTTTGAAGCATCTAATACTGATTTGTTGTAAAGTTACCCTAGAACAGTTTGGGAATTATTCTCTACTTGAAAGCCTTACACCTGCAAACTGTGTTGATGGGCTAATTTTGTGGAGATGGGTGGTCATAAGAGCCTTATGAAGAGGCCCATTATGTCATGGATAAACTGCGGTACTGCAGTCAAAAACTCTGCTCACAACCTGCATTTGATCCCAACAGATTAGGTATTTGGCTTAAGGTTGACTCAGCCTGCCGAGGTCAGTGAATTGAGGAGCCAGCTCATTTGGGGGGGCGGCAATGTGTAGCCTGCATAATTAAATTGTGCTCTGGTCTCATAGTGCTTTAAGCACTATGAGACCAGAGCACACCAGACAGTGCTTTAAGCACTATAAGTTGGTATATACTGTATTTTTTCTGTGTATACAACCCCCCAATGTATAAAACAACCCCCTAATTTTGACCCTTGCCAGAGGCAGAGGAGCAGTTAATGGACAACTGCTCCTCCGTCTGCTGCTGCTGCCTCCACTGCCCGCCCGATCACCTCCTCCAGTGTGACTGCTGGGGCTCACCTCCAGCTCAAGTCGCTGCCTTGTCCCCTGCCCTAAGGAGATGATCACTGGAGGAGATGATCCAGTAGGGGCAGCAGGAAGAGGCGCCCGAGCACGCGTGAGTGCTTGTTTGCCTCTGCTGCTGCCTCTGCCACCAGAGAGGACAAGGCGGCGACGTGAGCTGAGCCCACTAGTCCCACTGGAAATGGTGATCGGGCAGGCAGGGAAGGCAGCAGCAAGAGGCACCCGAGCACGTGTGAATGCTCCTTCGCCTCCATCTCCGCCTCCTTCTGCTGCTGCCTCAGCCACTGGAGAGGACAAGCCATGAGCTCTGGAAGAGGCAATTGGGCGGCGGCAAGAGGCGTCCAAGTGCGTGTGTGACTGCTTCCTTCAATGTACAAAATGACACTCAATTTTCCTCTAATTATTTTAGGAAAAAGTGTCATTTATACACAGAAAAATACAGTAAGCAGCACACTATGCTGTCCTTTTTTCATAAGGGCCTATCAGTGTAGGATGTTGTAGGAGTCTAGTAGAATGGTTCAGTAATAAGGTGATACGTGTGTCTTTCTTGACCAACCTGAATATGTAGTATGTTCTCTCAAGAAACAGCTCAAGCTTTGTAAAAAATCCTTCCACATAATTTTCTGGCAATTCTTGGGAAGAGCCACCTATTCCCATCGAAGACCATAAAACACCACCTCGTGTCCAGGATGGAAATGATGCAATCCAGTGTTCTAGAAGTGTGCTGCAAAGCTGTACCTAAGACTTCATGATACTAGTCCAACTCCTGGGTGTGATAGACTGTATACCCTGTGTGAGGTTTCATTCCAGATCTCTTCAGTGGTTGTTACTTACCTCATTAGAAGAACATAGCAAAACAGAAACATATGCCTCTCTTTATTCTGAGCCAAGTACAAGTCTCTTGAGTCCTTGCAGTAGTGCCTGAACAAGGGTAAATCCTCCTTGACTTCCACCAGGACTCAAATCATGATTGATGCAAGCCTTTTGGGGGGGTGGGTTGCACTCCTAGCTCATGGGAAGTGGTCAGCAGAGGAGGCCTCCCATAACATAGAGTTCTGGAATTCCTCCAGGACCACATTCAGGGACAGGTGGTACTGGGAGGATCAGCCAGTGTGACTGCAAAGGTCCACATCACTCATGGGTGAGTGTGACGTTTCAACAAGCTCCTAATGAGGGAAACGGATCAATTAATGTCTTGGGCTCATATCCCTAAGAGGCAGAGCATGTCCAGGGAATAGGGAACATACAAGTAGACTGGCTGAGCTGCATAGACTTGGATGGGTGGAGCCTCTCCAGTAGAGTGTTCCAGTCGATCTTAGTAAGATTTGTAGTGCCAGTTGTGGAACTTTTTGATTCACCCAAGAACATCAAGGTGAGTTGTTACTTCACCTGGTTTCAGACATTCGAGGCAGAAGGCATTGATTATTCATAAAGACACAATTATCCTGCATCTCAGGCCTTCATTTGTCCCAAAGATAAACTCTAGCTTTCATAGGTCGCAGGAGATGATACTACAGTGGTACCTCGCTTGATGACGTTAATTCGTTCCAGCGAAATCACTGTTAAGTGAAATCGTCGTCAAGCAAATTTTAAAAACCCATTGAAACGCATTGAAAACACTTCAGTGCGTTCCAGTGGGCTAAATACCTCATCATAAAGCGAAGATCCTCCATAGGGCGGCCATTTTCCGGTGCCTGTATAGTGAGGAATCCGTCCTAAAGCACAGCAGGGAGCCATTTTGCACAGCGGGCAGCCATTTTAGAGCCGCCGATCAGCTGTTTGAAAATCGTCATCTGGCGAAAAATCTGTTCCCAAAGCAGGGAATTGATCATCATGAAGCAAATTTTTCCTATTAGAACATCGTTTTGCAATTGCAAAAACCTCATTGTCAAGCAGTTTCGTCATTTAACAAGGTAATAGTTAAGTGAGGCACCACTGTACCTTCCTTTTGCCCACATTCTTTTAGGCCTCTCAAAAAGATTTGTCACAAGTCTGATGTAAGGTCGGCACTAAAAATATATCTCAAATGGCCTAGATACTTGAGGCAGACAGATGCCATGTTTGTGTCTTTCCAACCTTCCACCATGGGGAAAAATGGTTTCTCAGTCAACTATAGGTGCCTAAAAAGTTGTGACTGTTTGTGCTATCAGAGTTCTGGTTCAAGGCTGCTTGGGGCTATTGCTGCTCACTCCAGTATGAATGCAACTGCATCAGCCACAGATAGTACCAGGGTTCCTCTGAATGAAACTTCCATGGCAACCACTTGGAAGGTGCAGTTTTCCTTTATCAGACATTTACTGCGTGAACTGCTTTGCCTCAGCTAAGGTGGGGTTTGGTAGAATAGTTCTTAAAAAGGTAGTGGACCTTTCCTGATCGTAACTCAGAGCCTAGAGGACTTAAGTGAAACACTCCTTGGTCCCACCCTAAGATGTCAGGCTTTGGTAGATTCCATCTCTTGAAAATGTCCTCTTCTACTACAGGAAAGAGGAACATTAGTACTCGCGGTGTAACAGGCCACAAAGACAAAAATCATACTGTTTACTTTTAGCTAAGGATCTTCAAGTGATTCTTTGCAAAGCTACACAACTCATCCCCATTTGCTCTATGGTTGCATGTTTTAAAATCCTATATTCAGATACTATTAGGTTCTCATAGTAGTATCCCATGTTGAAGGAACTGAGAAAGAGGCAGAAACATAACCTCTGCGTGTGCAGTTTGGAAGAGAATAGACCTCTTAAATGTTTCAAAACAAGGCTCAGATGTTTCCAGAACTCATGTACAAATGCACAGGTAACCAGTTACAGGTAAGCACTCTGTACCCACTTGAAAACCAACTACAGGTGAGCAGCCTGATCTTTTTGAATTTGAATTGAACCATGACCGCTTCCCCAGGCCTAATCCTGATCACATTATTCACTTATTAGGGGAAGGAGTGTTTGTTCCACTTGATGAGCAGTTTTGTGGAAGACGGATGCCAACTGTTTCTTTGTTTTTAAGAAATCTGATATGGTATATGAGTTCTCTTAAGTTTTTGTCTTCATTAAAGTGTGGTAATTTAAATAAAATGGTGAAGAACAGAAATTACTGAAACAACTTATCTGGGAACATAAATGAATTGAAATATTTTTCTGTGTCTTTAGCCCCTGCGTCGGCCAGATTCATCAGATGACCGTTACGTAATGACCAAACATGCAGCTATCTATCCAACTGAAGAGGAGCTTCAGGCAGTCCAAAAGATAGTTTCTATCACTGAACGTGCACTGAAACTTGTGTCTGACAATATGACTGACAGTGAAAAAACTAAAAGCAAGGAAGGGGATGACAAAAAAGAGGGCAGTAAAGACAGGTATGTTTTGTTGTCAATGTGTGATACGTTATTTGGTTTGTGACAGAGATAGTTATCATCTATCGATGTGTTTAAAAACAAAATAATATCTCTTCAATGTTTGCTTCTTAAAGTTGGTTTAGTCTGAGGGCTCTCAGTTTCCACAGTCTTCAAAATCTGCCCAGAAATCCTTATTTTGTGACCAGAATGATTTCGCTGTGTTTGTCTGTATAATACTCTCCTGTTGCACAAGTTTTCGCTTGAAACAGCCATAAACTACATTATGTCAACAGCAATTGCCCTTTTGGTGCAATGAAAAAATGGTAGCATACAGAATTCTTAAAGCACTCCACGGTTCCTCTCTTTGGCTAGGTTTGTCATGTTGCTGATAGTGGAGACGAATGTAGTCCAGGGACATCACCTGATGCCAGAATTAGCTATTCATTCAACAAGCTATTAGTTCACTACAATTTTTATTTGCTCCCTGTCCCCGTGATTATGATCTGAATTAACTCAGAATGTGGCAGGAGATTAAAGACAAGTAAAAGAAAGTACTTCTTCACACAATAGATAATTGGACTGTGAATATGCTGCCACAAGATGAACCCCAACTTGAATAGCTTTAAATTTACCAGAGAAAAGGCTATTAATGGCTGGTGTTCCTTACTGGCTTTTACTTGCTACCTGATATGTGTGCAATATCAGAGGAATTTTGCCTAAATACCTGCTATTTTTCCTTGTCTCTGCATCATTTAATGGGTGTGCACCTCTGCAGTACTACAATTTGGAAGCTTCTACATAAAATTTATCTGTCACATATTTATGAGCAGGATTCCTCAAGTTCTGTTTTGTCACCCATAGCAGCAGCACGTAGTAGAAAATCTGTCTCTCTCTTTCTCCTTTGAATGTCAAGTTTTTCAGTGTATCTCTAACAAGAACAAACAAAATTGGAGCACTCATCTAAAATCTTTTCTTCCTGAGAAAGCTATCTCTGCTGTAGATAGCACACCAGAAATGCAGAGGGATCCATAGGATCCTCCTCCTGCTGATGTCAGCTTTGCAGTGTACCTCATCCTCATCTACCTCAGCATTGGTAGTGGTAGCAATCTCAACAGTGATCCTTTAGGCCAGCATGAACAAATCAAGGTAGGAAAAAAGATATCAAAGCCCTCATGCAGCGGCGCCTTGACATACAAACTTAATCCATTCCAGAAGATGGTCATAACTCAAAATGGTCATAAATCGAAGCACCATTTCCCACAGGAATGCATTGAAATGCGATTAATCTGTTCTGGCCGAAGAAAAAAATCACCAAAAAACAAAACTAAACACTGCAAGACCCGTCGGAAATGTGATTAATCCGTTCCGGCTGAAAGGGGGGGGAGAAAAGCAAGCAAACCATGCAAGACCCTTCAGAAATGCAAAAAAAGAAAAAAGAAAAAAGCAAAGCAGAAAGCAAGCAAAACCATGCAT